GAAATTCACGGGAACCCGAAATTTGGCATTTCCGGGAGAAATTACTATACTTCTTGATACAACTACGATACTATTTTAAAGAACGAATATGGCATGTCTTTGCTGTAAAACTGAAATATATGATATGAAATTAGAATTTAGAAGTAATATAGAAGATAATTTTTCTACATTCGTCGGACGAATCCAACGGCGTCAAATAATTTATTAGCACCGTAGATCCGTGAACGAGACGTCGATCGTGAATTTTCGAGAGATGTGTAAAGAGTATCGCATGTAAAATTAACCCGATAAATTTGTAATCTCGAGTGAGAAAGCAAAGAATCTCGACGGAGCGCAGCGGAGGCTTAACGTCCGGTAGGGCCCCGGCGCACGGGGCCTCCTCAAATATTAGCGGAGGACCGCGGGGTCCCCTTTTGAACGGCGATCCCCCGAAAATTTCTATGGCGAATAATCGGAGACAGCTGGCGCGATGCGAAATCAAGTAGCGTAATAATGCCTCCGCATCCAGAGCGGGGGAAAATAAAATGTCGAGGAAAAAAAGGAAGCTGAACGGAGCGAGAGAAAAACAGTTCTCCCTTTCTCTCTCGCTCTTTCTCTCTTCGTCTCTCCGTCTCCCCCGATATCCCGTCTTACCCGGACTGTCTTATTTCAAATATTTACGCAAGAAAAACATGGACCCGTTTGGATAGCCTCTCGAGTTTTTCGGGCCGGGACGAACAGGGACCGAGAAGAAGAAGAAGAAGAAGAAGAAGAAGAAGAAGAAGGAACAAAATGAAGCGCCGAAGAAGACGAGACACTGTTCCGTTGTGAAACAGTCAATTAAGAAACTAATATATTCCGAGTCGATTCGCGCGGGCTGCTCGATTGTTTATAATCCCCGATACTCGATGACTTCCTCTCTCGTCGCTTGTTAATTAACAGCGTCCGTAAGGGCGGTGTCGCGAGGGACATTCCTCCGGCCAACCTGTCCCGTTTATCTGCCAATAAAAACGGGACGTTTAACCGGGACACTTAAGAGCCCACGGGCTCGCATAAACCCGCGGAGTTTCGGCTAATAAAGCGGTGGCCCGGGCCGCCGATGCTCTCTGTACACCTACCGAATGGATACGCGCCGCGCCGAATCTCCGCGGCCGGATCGGCAATTAACGTCGCGTTTCAGCATCGGCCCTTTCGGCCAAATAAATGACACGCGGCGGGCGCTCGTGATAGCTATGCTAATCGCGTGGCCCGCTGTAAAACTCGCTCGTCAGCTGCGCTACCACCGATCAGCTACAAATTTGACGTGCCCGACAAAGTCGATTCCACCACCGCGTTTTGGTAACTGCGGCGAACGCTTTCCGCGACCGATGAACGAGATTGTTCTATCGAATAGAAAAAGAGAGACGGTTCATCTTTATGAACGGCGATTAGAAGATCGATGAAATGGTAGAACAGTGGATACGTTGATCGTGAGCAGCAGTTTGAAGTTAAAGCGAACCGAGGGTCGGAGATGGAACATGGAATGTCCATTTTTAGGAACGGCAATTGAAAGAATGATAAAATGGTAAAACAGTGGAATCTATCAGCACCAATTTAAAGGATAATTAAATGGTGAAATAATAAACCAAAGATTGAAGAAGGAACAAGGGATGTCCATTTTTAGGAACAGCAATCGAAAGAATGATAAAATGGTAAAACAGTGAAGTCTATCAGCACCAATTTAAAGGATAATTAAATGGTGAAATAATAAACCAAAGATTGAAGAAGGAACAAGGGATGTCTATTTTTAAGAACAGCAATTGCAAGATTGATAAACTAATAGCGAAATAGCGAATAACATCATGATTATGATTATATTACAGACAACCATGATTAAATGGTAAAATGGTAAAACAGTGAAGGATTGGAGAAAGAACAAAGAATGTCCATTTTTATGGACAGAAATTGGTATCTCGGTGAAATACTAAGACCGCGAACGAAAAGGAGGAACGAAGAATGTCCATTTCTATATCGGAAGGTTTGCAAAGTAGAAACGTTTGATGTGCTGGTTGAAAACAGGGAAGGTCCACCCTCGAGCGAAACAAAGCAAGGAAATGGTAGCACTCTTCCTGCTAAGTTTGCATAACGACGGGAACCCTCTGTGTACCGTGAGCGAGAAGAAAAGTATCGAAGCATTAATAAACTAGATGGACATTCGTTGTTTCGGTAACGATATAAATGGACGTTTCTTATTCCGCTTCCTGCTGGAGGAAGGATCGAGGAACACAGTCCGCTGTACGATTATTCTTTATTCTTCGCTCGTTCTCTTTCCCGGTCCCCAATTAAAGTACAATGGAGCGAAATTTCGCCGGAGCTTGCGACTTCGCCGATTTATCGCAGCACGAAAAATCGAATTTCCTTGCTGGACCAATTTCGCGAGGTTTCGTAATTTCGTTTCGCATCGTTTGCACCAGAATGTTCGGTGCTGTGATTTTCTTTGCTAGATCTTCCCTGCCAAAAATGAATTTGGCATAATCTAGGTCTACGATCTTCGCGCACCCTGTGCAATTAAATAGCGCCGAAAATATTGCGACAATTCTAAGTTACATCCCCTATTCTACGCATCGGTTATAGCGTTATACTTCTTTGGTTTCGCTTTGGACTTCTATCAACAGTTCAGCAATGAAAAATAATCGAAATCTAAAATTCACGCGTACCCCGCGTTACTAAAAAGTACAGAAAATTTTGCATCGATTCTAAATCGCACCCTCTTCCTTACAAAACAATACGATCGATCGCGTTCACTTTTCCTCCTCTTCGAATCGTTCAGGAATAATAAAAAATCGATTGCCATGCATTGTCATGCATCCTGCGTAACTAGAAAGTACAACAAATTCCGTGACAATTTTCAATCGCATCCTCCCCTATCCCGTACAGTACTTTGCTCAATTGTCATCACATATGCTTCCTCTAATTCGAACACCGAGAAGCGACTCGATCATCCTCGTCTCAAGAAATAATGAAAGTCCTATAGGTAGCCGCGCGTCCTGCGTAAAAGCCGGCGTTGTACCCGAGTGAGGAAATGGGCTGTCGCGTGAGAAGCCGAAGGTTCTGGAAGAAGAAGAGAAGTGTCGGGGCCGGGTATCGGGCAGTTTATCCCGCGGGAGGAGCCGCGATACAATGAATAAAGAACGAAGCAGCTTGGTCGTGCGAGGCCTGCGAACGAGGCCTTATTGGGATATTAATCGTCGTACCAGGCGAACGCCCTGTCCCCGAGTGTTTGCACGAGGTTTGAAGAGGCTGCAACACCAAAGCTGCCTTGCAGCGAGAAACCCTCTCCGTGGAACCCCCTCCTTTTAAGCGCAACGAAACACTAGAAGAACCCCTTCTACAGCCCCTCCGTGTGCAACGCGTTCCTCGTCGGCGCGATCTCAAGAGAGAGAGCGAGAGAGCGAGAGAGCGAGAGAGTGCGTGTACGTGTACGTTGTGCAGGACGGTACGAAATACTGCTCCGGATACTTCGGGCCACTTAGGTACCGGCGTTGGTTCATAGGCAGTTTGATAGGCGCGTTGCACGACTGCTCCGAAATAATGGGCCGTCGATAGGCAGGCCCGTGTTTAGAAAACAGAAACCGGCCGAGCTAATTGTTCGCTAATTTCCAGTGGCACTTCTGCGGCCCTCGGACACAAACGAACGTTTCTCGGCGGAACAACGGAGCTACTTTTACGCATGGCGGGGCCGCGATACATGTTGCCGCGGGGCCTCGTCTCGATGGCACTTCGGCAAATCGTCTTTCATCGCCGCCCGTCGCTCGCTCGCCCCGATTCGTCACCGATTTCCCAACCGCGTCCGTTTCCCCGACGATTAAATAGCCATCGCGAAACCAGCGTCGCGTCCCCGTCGGAAGAGAGTCGTCGCGGTTTCTGCCAGCTGTCTTCGTTGGACAACGTCGAGAGCTGATCTGAGCTAATCTGACAGCTGAATTTCTACAGGTTTCCTTCTACTTCTATAGACTGTGAACTAGACTGTGAGCTTAGATAGAAACGTACATAGTCTAAATTGTTTAGCGAGAGGACTGAATCTTGCGTCACGATGTTCCTTAACACCAGATTCGCGAAGCATTGAAAAAAGGCTATTTTCTATTACCTCGTAAAAGCGACGATAATGCATTTATTAGAATTTGTAGCGACTGTTATTATTAGACCGCGGATACCATGCGTTTATGGTAGCAGTTTCAATTCAAGATAGCAGAGAAATTCAAAGAATTTGACAATGACACTGTATTATTTTCAGTCTAACAAAATAATTAAAAGCGAACTTTTAGTTTAGCTTCTATTTCTTGCAATTGGCGCAGACAATACTTATTCTACACAAAGATCCGCAGTCTAGTTACCACAATATTTGCCCCGAGTAACAAATTTCTCGTAAATGTACCTTCACGATCTCGATAACAGTAAGCTAAAAAGCCTGGTAAACCCAATATTAGATTTAATTTAATCGTGGCCGACGCGAAAGCAGGTTGCGACGCTCGAGGCCGCTCTTGCGTCGAATACTATCGTCGCCACGGATTCCGAATTAATACGAGAACGCCGTTGATGTTTCCTACTACTTTACGAGACTGTCAAAAGCGCGAAGAGCTGTTTTCCAGGGGATTCGAGCCCCGCGATCTTTCCCGGCGGATTCTCCGAGGGCGAGATGCTTGTGTCGCGGCGCGGCGGCATTCGCGAGGGCATTCGAACGCGACGGGCGTTTTAATCCGTTTAGTTTGCAGCCCGCGGAGAAACGGATCCTCCGTTTCATCCGCTCGTAAAATCTGGCTAATTGTGCCAAGTCGTTCGTGCCCCGACTAATCCTCCCCTGCTTAATCCCACGACCGGGATATCCTATCCAATTAGAACCCGTCGACACACGATCTTGGACCTAATTGAACGTCGCGCGACGACGGAGCCTTCGCGATCCCGAAACGGAGAACAAGCGAGAATACCATGATCGCCGAAAGCGGTATCGTCGCTGCGCATAGATGCAAAACCAGGGTACTTACAAAACAGGTGCGAATTCGATGACGGCACTCATCATAATCCTAGACGGTACAGTTCGTTCAAAAACGACTCTGCCTCGGTAGTAATAGTGTCACAGTGTCTTCAGGAAGCGGCCGGTGTCATGACGACGAAGGCGACGGACATCAGGATACGTCGGCATCCGGTTCCCGAGGGTCCCTCCAGTCGTCGCTCGACATCATAGAAGGACGGGCGATCAGTTGTTCGTCGATTGCCGGTGTTGCGCCATCGCTACAGGTAACAGGGAAGATCGGCTCTCTTGTCCTCTTCTCCGATCCGACGTCGAAAGCCGCCGGGCCCAGGAGGAGCGAACGGTGCGCGAAAACTCGTCGATATCCAGGTCCAGCGGGGTCCGACGGACGTCCTTGAATCACTGTCCTCCGGAATCCGTGGATCGCCGATGCCGATCGCGCGTGTTTTTATCTCCGGGCGAACAACACTTCGTAGCACAGTTTGGCCGTTCAGCGGCGAGATGTCTCACCGGCCGACCTCATCACCGGACACACGATCACCTGGTGGACCGGTCCCCAAAAAAATCTCTCGCGAATTCCGTCCCGTTGATCCGTTGGCAGATGATCGACGGAGATCGCGAACGATCCGTTGGCCGTTGGAGGCGCCGTTTGCTGACGTGTGTGCGCGGTGGCTGCTGGCGAAACCCGACGAAGGTCTCGGCTGCAGACAGAAGGGTGAAGGGAGGCCGACCGGCCGAAGGTAGCCGGCAACCACCAATGGGGCGGTGCCGGGGGCGGGGCCGAGAGCGATCTGAAAACCCGCCCACCCGGTTGCTCGATCATAGGCTGCAACACCCCAAGGAATGCTCCGTCCCTGTCCCTCCGTCCTATTCCCGGTCTCGGTCGCTCGTCTTTCCTCCGCGCGCAGGCCACCTTTCTCTCCCTTTTATTTTCTCTCATTCAATTGGGACGGAGGCGACACGGCGACGGTAAAAGTGCAGGCGAACGGCCACCGGCTTCCTTGTTCGACACTTTTCATCGATCCTTTCTTCCCTGGCTCCTCCTTGGCCTCCCCCCGTCCTCCCGGCACGCCGTTCGAAAATCCGTCTCCCGGATGCCATTTGTACGTCGCGTCGGTCGTCCGCCATCCGGTTAATTTGGAAACACTTGGCACTTCGATTCGCCGGCTACCGCAACCCCCGACCTCCGAGGCACGACCACGATCTCGCTCGTCCGCGCTTCTATTTCTCGCTGGAAGAGACCCGCGCGATTTTCCGCGCCTGCGAAATATGAAACCGGAAGAATTCCGGAACCCGTTGGTACTAAAATTCGTGTTACTAAAATTCCGAAGACTTTGCACGAAACGGAGATCGAATCCTCGGCGGCTTTGTTGTTCCCCGAGCTAGGGGACGCGGGATTTTTCATTTTTCATCGGTCTCGCGGAGCTCCGATTAGATGATCGGGGGCGGGGTGGCTCGCCCCCGGAATGGCGTCAACGGCTGGCGGTCGCTTATTAAAAAAATATTTGCTTAGAAATATCCGGCAAAAGGTGAAAGCTGGCGGTGAAGTGCATTGAAAAGATTCCCGCGGCGAGCTCAGGGGTGAGTTGCATCGGTCCGCCGGCGGGGGTTAGCGAAGCGGGAGGGAGAGAGACGAGGAGAGACAGGGAAAGAGAGGGAGACGGGATCGAGGGGTCGACGAATGAGGCAGCGAATGAATACCGAGCATGGATTCGCTCGGAGCCAATGGGGGCGCGGAATGTCCTCCCCCGTGCGACCCAGCCACGCCAATCGTGGGCGTCCTGAGCAACCCCCCAGGCATCGGCCAAGGGGTGGCGGCAGAGACACCGTTGCCTGGCTTCGAGGGCTCTACCTGGCTGGCTGATAAAGACAGACAGACCTCTGTCTTCCGTGGCGGATCATGCTAGCTTTGCTAGGCTGACGACCCCGTAGCAACCACACCTCCACCTTTGCATCCACTTTCATTCACTTACAACCACTTTCCACCGACGCCAATGCTCCGACGCCTTTTCTTAGATTACGCGCCTGTTTCCTACCCTCGTGCCGCGTCTACTGTGATTAACGGATTACCGGGCTCGCGGCAGAACGTCGACGCATTTCTTTGCAACCCCCGGCGGTCGGGGACTTAGGGGTGATTAGGCGAAACATCGTTTTTTCTTCTGCAAATCCCTCCCGATTTTTGTTGCCTCGGCCGACGGCTCGACGGGGAAATGGTGGAGAGGCCGGACTTCGGCGCACCCCTCCGGCTCGGGGGTGATTCGTGTACATTTTTTTTCTGACATTAGCTCTGGCTGAATTTTCAGCCATTCTTATTCCGGTGTTTATGTCGTCGTCGTAGTCGTGTGTAGATAAGGGAGAATGTAGAGGATGAATTTCTTTGCATTTTCGTTGTCACTTTCTTGGGGGATGATATCGGATCAGACGACGTTTTCTTCTTCGACGATGCAAATTAAACTTTGTCACCTCTTCTCCAGTTTCTAAATCGTGAATGTCAATTGTAAATGGGGTGAAACAAGGACGAATTTCATTGCAGTTACGCGGTCAGTTTCTTAGGGGATGATGTTACATCGAACAGCTATTCCAGGCTTTCTATTCTGTGTAGAAAGGGTAAAAAACTTAGTCGAATTTGTTCCCGCTGCTATGGCCAATCTATTATTATTAGACGATCACCGGATACAGCGTCCGTAGTTTCACAAATTTAGGCTAAATTTGATCTCCGTTTTTTCAGCTTGGAAACCGTGAATTTCACAGGAAATTAGAGACGGTTATTGCAACACGTCGCTCATGTTGTGCCGCCAACTTACGATTGCTTTTAGTAAATCGGAGCCGATCGTAGGGGACCGGTTGAAGAAGGGATTAACTTCTTAAAGGGATGCGGGCGTTTATTTGCGAATCTTATATTGGAGCCCGGCCTGGAGTGGCATGGAAATAAAGCTTAATTCATTGTTTGCCTCGCGACGCGAGTTTGGCGTTGGCACACGTGCCGTGTCATGTGACGAACGCGCGCGTCGCAGTGTCATACGCATGCACTCGACGAACAAAGGGAAATTTTCAATTCGGACACGTTTTTGCCCGTCGAAATATTTTTCTAGCTCGACGGATTGACGGGAGACGAGGCTCGCGGAAAGCCGGCGGAACTTTCGGTCGCGTCGGCGGGGCGAGGCAAGCGAAACAATGTTTTATCCGCGCGACGGCACGGCAAAAAATTCTCGACCGTCGATCGGAGTGTTTCTTGCGTTGCGACATTTAGCCGATCATCGGCGGCCAACGATAAACGAACGACGTCGCTGGACACGCGGTAAATTAATTTAGCGCTCGGAAGGCTGAAGCAACGGCCGCGAATACCCGTGAAAAATGGCGTGCAACGGTGCGCGGTTCTTCGGGCGATCAATTTCAATTCCTCGCGGGCCTTGCACGCTTTCACTGTTTGCCAGACGTCGGCGTCGCGCCGCGTCCGCGCGCGACGGCGACGTATATTTGCGTCTCGGTCGAACGAGGCGCGGAGGAGTGTCGGCGAGTAATCTCGTTTTCCGCTGGCGGACAAAGTTAAACTCGTTGCCCGCTGGTATCCGCGCGCTGTCTATCCGGCCCGGTCCTCGTTCCAGGACGCAGCTCCGACGGGGGAGTTGCCCCGGACAATATATCAGTTTACAATGATAAAAAGCAAACACGGGAAATAACGCGAGGAATTACTGAACCAAACAATATGTCCCTCGTCTCTGGAGAGACGGCGTATATTTCGACCGAGCAGCCCGGCAGCATCCGACGGAGGGGTGTGCCAACACGCTCTCCTTACAATGCTGCCGGGCTTTATTGCGCGACGGGGCGATATGACCACGGGGATGTCGGAAATGGACTCATTATCGCCGACCGAACGGCCCTGGCCCGACCAATTATACCGGTCCGCTTCTTTTCTAAACACAGACGCCTCGGACACCCCCGAGATACCGACGAAATGACCGGTGATATCGACGTCGTAGGCCGAAGCAAGAACCAACGCTCCCACGAGTTGCGATTCGTCTCCGTTGCAACCCTTGCGTTTCACTTCGCCGCGGTTTTTGATTCCCGGCTGGTCCACGTTTCGTTCTTCGGTGCTTATCGTCGACGAATAAATCGCTGAACTGGTTGAAAAAGTTGCACGACGCTTGCAGGCCGCGGGAAACATTGCCTCGTAATTTTTGCACTTCGTCTTCTTCTTCTTCTTCTTCGAATCGCTTGTCGAGCTGCTAAAAATTAATTAATACAATTACAACAATTTCGTCGAACGTTCGATCAATTACCTCGGTGAACAGCTTCGCAGGATTCCATAATATTCGCAGGATTTTCTTCGTTCCAACGTGTCTCCTGTAACACTGAATCTACCACCGCCGGTCAAATGACCGGTTACACATTTTTGATCTCATAATTATTGAAGTCACAAAGCCGCTTCCGTTAAAAATTGTTGAATTCACTTGTATATTCAGGCACAAACTGCGGTAAATACTCCCCAATTTTCCTTGAGCTTGCAAACAAAAATGGACAATTTAGGAAGAGGTATAAAAACCTCCCTATCTCCTCTTCCCAAATTGTCCACTTTTGTCTACAAGCTGAAGGAAAATTAAAGAGTATTTATTTATTTCAAATAAATTCCATCCTGCAATTCTTTAGGTAGTTTTAGCGTTGGTTCCAGAAAATTTCGCGGAGCCCGACATTCCATAAATATTGATAGAACCATGGAAAGATAATTTATACGGCAATGATCGACGAAACGTCCGGAAAATCGATCGGGGAATCGGCGAAGGATGGAAAGGAAACGGAGTCAGCGTCTCCAATTACTCCGTGTGTGCCGTTGTAAACGGAAGCAGCACTCCGTACAGAAAAATACTCGCCGTTTCAAAGGGAAGAGCGTCACGTTACCTCGAGGGACGGAGAGAGGGCGTAGGATGACTAAAAATTGGTACCCTCTTGCTCGCGGGTGCCTCTTGGTGGGTAGTACTCATGTAAGCAGTGACTAGTGAGGTAAACTCGAGTGTCTGAGGAAGGGTGAACGGGGCGGCGAGGGCGAGAGGGTGTGCGGGGCGGGTGTACGGGAGGAGGCGAGGAGTAGTCGGTCTGACGGGTGTAAGGAAGGAGGGAGGGATAGTGAACCGGAGATGTTGCCCTCGGGGGTGGGGGAGGAGGTGGTTTTTCCTCGGTCTGAGCATTCCGTAGACGATAGCGGCTTGGCTCACTTGGTCTTGGTTCGCATGCGGCTTATACGGCTCTGTACACCCGTCCACACCGACGAGGGGTTGTGGTAGCGCGCGCTCGCGAGCGCGTTCTCTCCCTCTCTCTCTATCTCCTTTCTGGTCTCTCTTGCTCGAATCCAGGCTGCCCTCTTCCCTCTGGCTCCCTTTTCTTCCACGTCCTCTTTCCTCTCCTTTCCACTCCTTTCCTTTCCTTTCCTCTCGTTCCAGCTTTTGCCGGGCGTGTACACGCGGCCCACCGGCAAGAAGTAGACAATTCACAATTAGCAAACACAAACAGAAGTACGAGTGGCTTCAAGTTGCTTGGGACGCGGTGGCAACGGGCTTAGCCGGAAGCAAACGGTGGGGTAGGGACTTCTGGGATGCGAAGCGACTAGCGAGGCAGTCCCTGAGCGTCAGCCTCCGCTCCAGAATACTCGTCTCAACTCCCGGCCCGACAGAGACCGGCGAAGGCGCGTGTATGCTCTGGAGATAACGGGTGTGCGATCTGTCGCCCTACGGTTTCGCGTTTTCGCGCCGCCGTTTCCACCGTCTTCGATCGTACCAATCTGCTCCCCTCGGAGCTCCGCGGAAATCGCACCTCTGCTCCATAAAAATCGCAACAATCGACTGCCTTCATCTCGAAGGCGATCATCGTTTCAGTCTTCGAAGATCCACTAGCGCTGCAGGAAACAATGTTTGTTCACACGGAAAGAGGCGCCAGTGCCTGTTCACGGTCGATCGGTAATTATTCTTAGTACCATAAATTACTAAGAATAATTACCGTAGTACTATAGTATAGTATATATACTATAATAGTACTATAAATTACTATTATACATTGCTAGGGACACGGCAATCTTCTCCGAGATCTGTAACATTGTTCATAAACTGTTACGATAACGCTGCCTCGAGTCTTCGTTGCCTCCGGACGATATGTTCTTAACGTTGATCCAAAGAAAGTCAGTTTTCAACGATGTTTCCAACGATCGTCGTCCACGGTCATCTTCCCGGCCGATCAATCGGCAGGATTCGCCGGTCCCACCCGGTATGTACGCGCATCGGGCTCTCACCGTTGCGTTGGAACACTTGAAGCCCCAACCAGTTACGGCAACAATAGGCTTTGTCTTCGCGCCGTCGGCGCTCGCAAATTGGTAGAAATCTTGATTAAAGGTGCAATTCCGCTGCTGCCTACGGACAAATATGAATTGCACCCCCAATGCTCCCGCCGTCCTCCCTCGCTCGCCCCTCCGCCGCCGCCGACGTCGCCCGGTCCCTCTTTCTATCGTTCCGACAAATGAAAATGGAAAAAACGTGTTGTGGTATACTTCTTACGGCGCGACAAGTCCGCGGCTTTTCGAGGATCAAGACCGGACCGTGACTCCCTCCGTGCGCCAGCGTTCAAAATTATTATCCTTCGTAAACAGGTAGCCTCGTCCCGATAAATCCATTGGGTTATCCGTTAATCCGCTGAACGACGAATATCATCTCCAAAAATTTCTACAATATCTAAAACTCTTAAATATATATATATATATTTAATAAACTTATAAATTATTTTATAGTATTTACTTATAGTAATAATATATATTACTTAATACTAATTAAGTAATATATATTAGTATACTAGTACTAATTAAAAATATATATATTATATCGTTAAACTCTTTTGTATTTCAAAAATCCTCGTCACATTCGGTTCGTCCAACGTATTACTAAAAAAGAAAAAGAAAACGAATTTTAATGTACACATTTATTTCATTTATATCCACTTGCTTCGATTAATCGTAGCAATCACCGTCGCCGGAAACTTCGTCAGGCGTTCGTCCGGGATCCTAATAATGAATCATTCCACGAGTTTTGTTTCCGTCGTCGTCTTCATTCGATCCGCATTAGGAAGGTCCCATTGGGCGGACGTGCGGACGTGCGGGCGCGGCGATTCGATTTCGTTTGCGGTTCCCGAGGATAATCCGATTGCGAGATTACACGGCAATTCGGATCGATGGGGCATGATCCCGGGCGACGGGAAAGGGAGAAACGGCAAGACGCGTATAGAAATGGAATAATAACCGCGTTGTGTATGACAGATGCGGCAGGAGCATTCGCGATAATCCGGCACACGCGTTGCTGCACCCTCTCGATCGCGCGCGCGGAAAATCGAGCCCACGAGGAGCGCGTGACCACCTCTAAATAGCTCATTAAACTTTGCCCCCTTTTCGTTTGTTTAAAACGATCGCGGCCTCTCCGGCGGTAGTTTTGTTCAAATTGATTCGAACATCTTGTTTCGCATCCCCCGATCGAGATTCGACGAGATCGAACCGTCCTGACCCGATCAGGAGGACCGTGTCTCCTGCGCGCGCAACCATGAAACCCCGAAGGCTCATGCTCATCCCGTGCAGAACACACATCGCAAAACTGAGTCAATTTACATAACGATAATTGAGACGTACATGAAAGCAGAAGCCCGGATCGCGCGGTACCATCTCTGTAAACGGGCCTCGAATCTCCAAAAGCCATACACCCTCTAGCTGTGTACCTTCTGATTGCTGGTGGACACTTCCTGGTCGAAATAAATTGATTTTCGAAATGTTTGATATCGTAACGATGCCTCGGCGATGTTGCTGTGTTTTACATGGCGGAAATAATTACCGGGATTACGTCGTTTGCAAAGAATGAACCGAAAAGTTCCTCGTCCAGTTCTCGTCCATGATTTCGTTCTTCAACCATCGTCCCGTTTACTATTGATGTCTTCAACTTCCGGTTGTGGCACTACTGTAAACTTCAAAACGGTATCGCTAGGTCCATCTGTAGACGAAGCGGCGAACTACGCGACCTCGCAGAAAGCACGAACAGGGTATATGTTACAGACGTGGTAATACCGATATCGGTAATAATCGAACGTCCTCTGGCGCCCTCTGTCTAAATAGGACAGTCGCATAGCGAACTACATGCTATTTGCTTAACACGTTGAATTGATACAGTAGTGTGTGCACTATTGTTGTGGTTTATTATTAAATTAGAGCATGTTCACGAGGTAATTCGTAAATAACACGATATTGAAACAATGGAAAAATACGTGAAGCCGTTGACGGGTCACAATATGGATTCCGAATTTCTGGGCATATTGGTTGCCGTGATAGTGATTATCTTAACTATAGGTAATGTACAAATTTTTGTAGGTTACAATTGTATCAATCTGTTGCGTGGAATTTTTAAATATATAAATACGATATAAATAATTACTTATGACCATGGTATATAGAATAAGCATAAAAAGGAATACAGCGATATATACGAGAAATACAAGGAACATAATATTGTGATTGCATATATAAAATAAATATAGATACCATAATTTTTACGATATCCTACTTTGTTCCTCTGCTCAGTACTGTTTGTCATATGGCGTCGAAGAAAATCTATAGGAAATAGGATACTTTTAACCGGTCTCAGCGATGCTGGTAAAACACTGATATTCGCGCGTTTAGCTTGTGCAAATTCTGTTAAAACTTACACATCTGCAAAAGAAAATACAGCCAATCTTGTAATTAATAATGTAAGTACATGTATATAAAGTTTGTAGCATTCGTACGTCAGCATCGAGATCCTCTATTACCATTTGTACGTCTAGCATACCCTGAAACTTGTCGATGTTCCTGGACACGAGCGTTTACGCTATAAATACTTTCACCAATTCAAATTATCTGCGAAAGGTGTTATCTATGTAATTGATTCGGTAACATTCCAAAAGGATATTCGTGATGTAGCAGAGTAAGTAGATACAGGTAACAGGACATTGTATCCTGTAGCAGAAACAATTAAAGAATCTAATCATTTTCAGGTACTTGTATAATATACTGTCCGAACCATCTATGCAAAATAAATGTGTACTAATATTATGCAATAAACAGGACCAAACTATGGCAAAAGGTTCCTCTGTCATAAAAACATTATTGGAGAGAGAAATGAATTTATTACGTATGACAAAAACAAGTCAGTTAGAAGCTACAGATGCATCGTCCAAAAATGTTTTCCTTGGAAGAGAAGGGAAAGATTTTGAATTTGCCCAGCTGGATACACAGATAGATTTTGCAGAATGCTATGCATTTAGTAAAGATCCGGATAACTCAGCCGACATTGAACAATTAAATGCATGGCTAAAAAAAATTACATAAAAATTTTGACTTCTTGAAATAAATTATTTGTTTTCAATTTGATAAATAAGATTGATTAATTGTTTTCCTTTAATATTTAAACATGTGTGGCTTTATGGGGGTATGCTGAAATAACTAATAACAAAACAGTTTGAGTTATTGAATTATCTGTATGAAAATAAAAATTGTAATTGCTTCTTATTCTACGTATATAAATACAGATAGATGCCGGTTAAATTCAGGAACGTTGTGTCCTCGAAATTTTCAGAATTTCTCTTTGCAATCCTGAAATTTACAATTGTTGTTTATTAAGCAAAATCAATTGGCCTTTTACTGCAGATTAAGCCTAATTAAAAAATTGTAATTTATAAAGGATAAAGTAAGATTTAATGGTCAATTGTTACCCTGTTGACTTGTCCACACTATTTCGACGTTGAAAACGTTATCTTCCTCTATGAGATTTTGAAATTGCCTCATTCCTCCACCAACCCCAAAATAATAACTTTTAGCGGCAATGAATCTGAGTAGTAGCGAAAATAATTAATTACCTACTACTAAAAAAATTATTTTCCTAATGTCTAAATTAATTTAATTATCTAGCCAAAATAGATTATAAATTAAGTTAAATTTCGATAATTATACTTGCCCGACGCCATCTTGTTTCAGCTTCTCTTTAAAAACATTATACAATTTCCTGTGATTGTCAGGATTGTAAATTGTTTCACTCGTGAAAATCAGGTCGTACTTTGTAACGTGACTTTCATTATCAGACTCGTTTAATTTCGTAAACGATTCCCAGTCCCCGCAAAAAAATTCACATCTATGTAAAATATTTTTTCGATCCTCTGAATTCAGAAGAACATTTGGAATTGTCACAGATTTTATTACCTCCACGTTCTAAAATAACGATCCACATGAACCAAAAATTTTGAGAACTTTATTAGAAAATTATGTGTATATAAAAGAAACGAACATAGTCTTGAAAATGTACGACGGAATTTCTCAAAAGAGCTATCAAACCAATAACACCAGCACCACATCCCAAATCCAACACAGTTTTGTCTCGAAATTCTACACTGTTTTCGAAAACGTAGTGTCCGAGATCGTAACTACATTCCCAGATTTTTAGACCACCTTGATACACGAATTTCTCATTAAATTCTTAAGAATTAAATTAAAAGAAAAGTGTTCGAAATTAAATCAAAATCAATGAACTAAATGCAAGCTTTGCTTCATATTTAGAAAGTAGGAGCTGTTCATGTTCGACAATAAATAATGATTATTTTTATTTAATTGCCATATACCTTCGTATTTGGCAGGGACAAGATCAGAATGTTGTGACTCTGCTTCTACAATATTTACACAGTTTTCTTCTTTCAAGTATTGCAAAGCTTTCTCAGAGCGAATTAATTTTAACTTGCAACCCGGAAATATTATACTTTCCGTGTAATCATCGGATTCAAATTGTTTTGTGATTTCCAATTCTGTGATACAAATCTTTGATGCGGGAATCCAATTAATTGATTCCTTTGTTTCGATGTCATCTTCTGAAATTATCATTCTGAGCACACATTCTTTTTCCAAATAATTATTTTTATTAAACGAGAAAATTGATGCTCGGAAAATCATACTTGAATCCGCACATGCGCAGGAAACAATGTAGCAAACACATAACCTTAATAAAGAATATTTTTTGTTACATATTTAAATAAACTGGATAAATGTAAAATTACCTTTTGCCTCTTCGTCCCTGAAAAATCCAAATTTGAACATCTTGTTTTCGATATTTGTTCGTGTATCTCTGCGTCACGGAACAATGGAAAACAAATGAAGCTTCTGGAACGGTTTTGAATCACAGACGACGTATGTTCTATGCTCGATGATTTCGAGACTAGACGTGCACAATACGGCGCGAACATTTAAATGATGGAAACTCATACTCTATTCCTATCCTATATCTCGTTTGCGCTTACTTTATGTTAGAGATGTCGGTAAAAAAGCTTGAACACCATTTTCTATTGCGGAAGTGGCGAAAAAGAATAAGTGGCGCCATCGGCAACAAGAGGGAGGATTATAGATTTATAGATCAATTAACCTCTGTGTACGTCGCGTTTATCGCACGTGTTAATATTACCATTGTCTTGTGGCCCACGTTCCTAATCTATGGGTCATTACAATGCTAGTAGCTTCTCATTAAGCCTTTTCAATAACACGGTTGATTTATTAATTTCGTTAAACAGCAGTCGATTTCTAGGTTAGGTAACCCTTGAAATTTTTTGTACGGGTCTTCTGCTAGACAGACAGCGCCACATATTCGTTCGTTTACAGGGGAATTTCTCAACGTTGTCTAAAATACAAGAAATATGTACCATTAAAATGGTCAAATTATTCGGTGACGATATTTCAGAGGCTGTCCTTCATTGGAAAAGATCTTTTTTCAAAAAGTCGGGTTGCATTTAGTCGCTGCATTGACTTCGAAGTGGTTCCACGACTTCCGGCCAAGACAAGCCCATGTGGACAGCGGCAGCGGTGGTTCCGATCATTCTGCGTTAAGGCTCTCTTCCTCGTGTTCTCTCGTGAAAAAAAGCCTTTTTCGAAGAATAATAGCGAGAGTCATCACAGTATGGCAGACTTGGACGATTTCTTTGCGAAGAAGGACCGGAAAAAAGCGAAGGGGAAGAAGTTTACGACGACCGAAGAAATAGCCAAGAAATTGGAAGAGACGGGGAAACGTTTGGGAAAGCAGAGAACGAAAGATAAACCGACGAACCCCGAGGTCGAGGAGATTCAACACACCGAGGTGAATATCCCATTTCTTTTGTCGTAAATTTGCTGCGATTATCCTTACTACCCTGAAACAATGCGATCTTCGCACCTCGAAAACCAACAACTCACCCGTGTGTGCCATAGGCCGCTGCCATATTTGTTCGCGTAAACGTCATTCGTACGATTTCTGAAATTATCTACTAGTTTTAGAGACCCACGGGAATTTCGCGTGACCGATTTTACCTCCGCTGTTCGAAGATCGAATCGTTATGTAATTGCGTCGGAACGCGTAAACGAATATTTCCTCTAGAAAACTCGCATATTATCAGCAGCTGTTCGAAATTATTAACGGAAACGGTTTTTAATTAGAATGCATTTTTCTCCGTTAAAAATATAGTTTGCTTTTGAACTCGCACCGTAATAGGCAGCTAAACTGCACTGTTCCTGTTGTAGAAACCAAGATATCTATAGAATGTTTAGCGATCATGAACAGAGGAGTATTGTGTCTGTATATTTACATGCGTGTTATTTCGTAGGATGAAGACGAATGGAGAGAATTCGAAGAAGAAAAGAAGGATTATACTGGTTTAAAAATAGGAAACTTAACGGTTAATGAGTCTGTGGATGCAGAAACCGACGACGAAAAAGCCACAGAGGATAATAGCTCCGACGGAGAGTCCGGGGAAGGCGGTGGCAAGCATTTGGGGCCATGGAAGAAGCCGGAACTTCCTCCCCAGCCTCAACCCGAAGTGGTTGAACCAACTCCACCACCTCCACCTACTGTTATATCAGGTGGAAGTAGTTATAAGCCGCCGCACTTAAGAAACGTTCAACCCTTAACAGCTAGTCCGAGACCGCGAGGAAAGAACATAGCGCCAGATATACACAGCGAGGAGTACTTCCCGACTTTGAATTCAAAACAACAACAGATCAATGAACCGAATGGACCATGGGGAAGACGGTAAGGCAAACTATACCCAACTGAGAGAGGTCTCTCGTGAAGCAGCGAGAAAAATTAATTTATTCTTTTAGGAAACGAGACGAAGGTGTATTTGAAGAAGTTCGTAACAAAGGTGGAAGTAGATTGTACGTGCCGGAGCAGACGCAAGCACCGAAACTCACGTTGGGTAACAAATATGGTGCACTTTCCCAAGATCAGAGCTGAAAGGCATCTCCGCTGACTCAATCAAACGACAAACAATCAATATTGCGTCATCGCCTCTCACCGTTTCGTGGCCCAGCTGCGCTATAAAATATCTTTTCTAGGATAGACTGCAACGAACGTGTATCATAATTATGCATCAGGATATCACGTACATGCCCTAGTTTCGATATGCCCAGGCTGATAATCAGTTTCGCTCGACGTGGGTTTTTGTATCGAGCTCGACATAGTTCGACGCGACCTCTTCAAACCACCGGATAAGCACAAACGTGCTCGCGTTGCTTTATTTTCGTACGAGAGAGAGACATGCTCAAATGTTTAGCACCAGTTTTCTATTTAATTTTTTTAATCGACATAGACCGTAAGCGAACGAGATAACGTAGAAGGGATCGGGGATTCGTTAGACGAATCCTGTGCCGAGGTAGGCACGCTGGTTGGAGAAGAGTTCGCGCGACGATCGCACTGTTTCCGCGTGCGGTGCTGTTTTTTATTTTGCCGCGTGTAACGCTTTACTGACCACGTTCGATTGCCTTCGTAAACACCACGAAAATAGGGATTAGGGCACCACCAGGATACTCAGATAATATGACAACTACTAGAAGGAGATAACATGTACCGGAGATATATTTGTATTACGCGAGGGGAACTTGTTTTAGTAAAATCCGATCGGCGATCGACGCCTCTCGAAAAAACGGGATCGATCCGCCGTGAGCCGTCTTGTTTTGTCAAAGTAATCGTTCCGCTCTCGACTTTACCGTGTCAACGAATATACAGAAGAGAAATAAACGTATAAAATGACGGTACACATATACGTATAAGTATATAAACATGTGTGTTTGTATATGTTAACTGACAAATAATTGAACTCCGGGGCTGGGCTTTGGAACGGCGCGAAAAATACGACACGAGAAAACAAATGAGTAAACTAATATAACATTGGTTCGAACGAGTATATGAAAGAGTATAAGTGCGTAAATATATATGTGTATGTGTGTACATGTGTTCGTATATGTACATACATATACGTATCAAAAGTATATATAAATATCAAGAAAACGTACGGAAGCTGAAAAACCGGAAGTGGTATACAAACAGGAAGTAAGCTAGAAAATGAAAGAGAGAGAGAGAGAAAGAGAAAATACACGCGCGTATCGAAAAATACAATACAACACAACACACAAGAGGAAAATGAGTGTACGCTTTTGTTGACGCTTGTTTAATTATTTTTGTTAATTTAGGAGTTTCTTTCGCGAGAGGAGGAAAAACATAGCGACAGAAGTTTAAAGATGGAGTGGTTCTCCTGTGTGTAATCAGGGACTTGGGGTGCTAGCGCTGTTATTTTTGAAAATAAAAATGAAGATAAATGAAATGTTTGAAAGGGAGAGAGAGTATGAGAGGACGAAAGAAAGAAAGAAAGAGAGAGAGAGAGAGAAAAGAGCGATTGATCGAGAAAGCAGAGTGAAACACGAGCCATATTAACACTGAAGCGAGGATGAGGAACAAACGGAGCCTTGTATAGTGAACGATATAAAGAAAGAGAAAGAAAAATATGTGATTATTTATAATAAATTTCCTAGGACAACTTACACATACTGCCTTAAAAAGCATTTTAATTTCTCGTGAACAAACTACGATACGCGTGTCGGTGATCTCGCGGCTAATACTGTGAAGCAGGTGTACGTGGGAGAGAAGTGAGAGAAAAATGAATGGTCGTCGTTCTGTCCTGTTGGAATCAAAGAGAACGTTTTACGGGCATTTCCACGGTTAAATTATTTCGCGATGAGAAAGCTGTGCCGTTCGGTTGGCCAATTACTTCGTTCATTTTCACCGAACAAGCCGCTCCCAAACGATATTTGTTCGTTCGTGAAGATCTGCTATGTAAATATACGCGGTGATCGTGTATGATCAATAGGAGAGGATCGAATGAGATACGGGTCTCGAAGATTGTTACCTAGACGTAAAAGCGAACAGAGAAACCCGTTGAACTTTTGTATACTGTTTTTCCTTCCGAATGAACGAACTGATTGACTGACACCCATCGTATCAGGAAGTCACCAGCTTGTAATTTCTCGATTGATCGCGCGGGCGCGCGCGATCCCCCTCGAAACCCGAGGGCGGCGAGGAATATTTTCTTTGGAGAAGGGGCGTTCTCCTTGGTTGACGAGTCCTGATCGATCCTAAATAGTAATCGAATTCGAGGGGGAGAAACGAAGTCACGTGGCGGCGCACCCCGCGAACGATGCCTGCACTTCGTCTGCCTTTTTGTTACAGAATAGTTGAAATAAAATCATTTTTATTGCGACTGTTAATCGAGAGAAAGTGAGATATGAGAGGGAGAGAGAGAAAGAGAGAGAGAGCGAGCGCACGAAAGAGATAACGAGAGAGAGAGAGAAAGCAGGTGATACGAAAACCTGACAAATAAAAAATGATAGAAGTTAAGTGATAAAAGAAACAATCACAGACGGAAATGTTCTGGTAACATTCTTCTTTGTTTCATTTGATAACATCTCCGAACGACGAGTGATGTTCAAGATTTTGATTGTGAGAATCTATCAATAAACATTTTTTGCAAGTAACTGTGCACACACATGCGGTTCCGATGCTTTCTCATTGTACGCAACACTTGTACCGAGAGAATTACTATTACAAGATTATATTTTTCGTGTCCCGAGAATGTACATAATATACGAGGGTAATTTTCAACCTGTTATAATAGACGTACACCCTGCATCATGCCCTTTAGATTACGTGTGCGACGTCGCCTTCAATGGTCCCGATATCGAGCGATTACTAATCGATCCTTGCGATCCACAAAAACTGGATTATACGTTTCGATGAAGAATATATATCGGTGAATCGCATAGCCCGCGAAGTGCCAATCATTAGTTTTCCCTTTGTTCGAACCTGAGGAGGCTTGCAAATCAGAAATGTAGGAAAGCAATGCGACAACTAGATCGAGAATTGAATTCTAGTGGTATTATTATTATTATTATTAATATTATTGTTGTTATCGTTATTATTATTATTATTATTATCATGCAAAGAATGACGTTTTATCGACTACTACGAGAGCAAGAAGACGGAACATTGAAGCGAGCGTTCGCATGATGAAGAGACAACGAAAGAGTCTGCGTAAGAAGGGTTCGTTCAAAGCAGATCTTCGGGCCTTATCGTACTCTCCTCGCTGGAAAGAAAGCAAGGTTGTGAAGCATTGATCACTGGACCTCGCGTCGGTGATTGTACATGGAATCGCGAACGTACGTTTCGCAGTATTTCAAGCCGTGGCTTCCCTCGTTGCTGTACAAGCTGTACATCGGGGTCTCCAGTAAAGATTCTCGAAACTTTGGCAAAAAGTAGATCCAAACTTTCATCATTGTTCCCACCTGAGAAGAAAAAACAACATTCTATGTTGCTGGCCGTACAACAACGTTTAAAAGGAAACTTATACCTCTTCGAACTTATCGGTTCCCTTGAGTTTCCTTTCCGGAGCCAATATTACGTCTGCCATTGCTCTTTCGTAGAATCCTGGATGTTCTTCCAGTTCATCCAATTTCGACAACATTTTCGTATCCACGTCGTACACTTCGCCGATTACGTGCTGTTCAAGCGTAAACGATTTTAAATTACAACAGAGTTACGGATCCGGAATAACATTCTCGCGGACGTGAACGCTAACACTGATCAAACTGTCATCTTCAAACGGGTAATTTAGTTCAAATTCAAGCGTAGGCTGATTAGTGGACCGCTCTAGAGTTCATGCAAATTCGGAGCGAATAAAACTATGATTTATTATTTTTTTTCTTCAGATCAATTAGTACGCCACAAATGCAAATATAAATTCTGTAATCCATCGAATTAGTGTCGCAAACGGTTTTGCATACTCGAAACTTTGGCGCTAATCGTTCGAACTATCGATACCTGCGCCCTTGAGATGGCACCGGTACCATCTTTCGAAGACCCAGCGAAACCGATAGTAACGCTAAACCGTTCGTTATCAATCGAGTGATACTCACGTGACCAACTCCTGGTTTCTTCAACAAAAACGGTATATTATATCTGGTTGCGATAATTAAAGGATAGGGGACCGAGGTTCGTCCGAGTCCGAGGAATTTCGAGTACCCATTTGCGGCATCCGAGATCAGACTATGATTAGGCTCGCCGCGTTTTAGTGTTCCGTAAACGAACACGCGGTACAATGGGTTCTTGAACAGATTTTCGTACATGTTTTAAATCGTTGCGTGCCCCTGTCAATTAACAAGACGTTTACGAACTGTTCTGAAATGGACCACAGACGTGACACAAATACATGATAACGTTAACTATCGTAATGGAATTTAATGTCACACGAGATACGGAGATATCGACGTTTCGAGCTCTTTAAATGAACTATCGAATTGATCGCAGTTGGTGAAACAGAGAACGCCAGGAATAAATGACCGACGAGGAGATTATGGCAGAGATATTTTTGGCTGTTTACCACTCCACGAACGTGTGACAAAACTCTATATTAGCCGATAACTAATTGGTCTATTTCTATACCTCGTCCGTTGATTGCATTTTAACGTTGCTACGGTCTTTAATTAATCAACGTTGTTCGGTTCCCGGCGGTTGCCGCGGGATGGCGACACTCTCGCAGAAACTTCCGGTGCTCGTTGAAGGATGACGCCACCGGTTTATTCCTTTGTCGGGAACACGACTAGGTTATGAACCCGTGGATCGTTCGCGGTTTACGATTTCGACGACGATCAACTGTTCTCACTGTCTCACGATGCACCGTGAAAATGCCAACGACTCGAACGACGCGGGTAGAACTTGCGAAACTCGATCGCCGTTTGCGAACGAACGGCCGAAAGTGAATGTCGCAGCCACGCCTGACGGTGCTTCGCTTTCTATACCGGATCAATGAAACTAGAGGTCACGCGCGTACAATTCCACGCCGGACACCGATTTCGTCATCAATCTTCGCGCCGTTTCCGGTATTCGTTTCGCGTGAATAACACGCGAATAACGACGGCATCTATTCGAACGGTTCGCGCAATTTTCTCGCGCGATCCGCGTCGAATTTACAAACGTTGATCGACCTTTAATCGTCCCACCGTTCTGCATACATTTCAACAATGCTCGCGAACGATTATATATAGTACATCAGGGTCGAAAATAACTGCTCGCTTCGCACGGGTCGTCCCCACTGCTGCGCGCAACGGGGCTCGCTTATGCAGAAAAAATGCAGCGAAACTTTGCGAAACGAGAACCTTCGCGAGAATCGTAAATACGAAACTACTGAATGCAAACTACTCCGCAGCTACAACGTATTTTAATCAACTTTCGCAGAACATTTCGGTAGACTTCGGCGCGACGAAGACAATGCTTCCGCATTGTCCGCGGTAACAATGGTCGAACGACGCGTTATAATAAAATAAATGATATGCGAATAAATAAATGAATAATAATATAATAAATAATAATAATAATAATATAATAAATAAATAAATAAATAAATGCAAATAAATGATAAATCGTGATGCGAATCGAAGAGCTTTTTTACCTCGTCCGGCAAATATCGAACGTCCATGGGTTTCGGTAAATCCGGTATATCCGATAGATCATGCAACGAATAGATCTCCAGCAACGCGATGTTGGTCAGCATCACCGCGGCTGCGATGTGCAACAGCATCGTTACAATTCGCGACACGGGGCGACTGACGTTTTCGCGGACCGTCCGATGCGTACAAGCCTGTGGCTCTCCGTGATCGGGTTGGAGGTCGAGGGTCCACACGATAAGAGCTTTCGCGACACGACCCGATAATTTCAGTCCATTGCGTCCATCTGCGTCAATTATTCGTCGAGCTTGCTGCTTCGCGCCGGAAAGTTATTGCTGGAATTTTCCGCGGCATTTTCGGAGGCCTGTCGACAACGAAAAATCGATTAGAGGAGACGCGGAACGATCTCGGATTTTTTTAAGAGGACCGAAGGGGTTACTTCGATCTTTTCGCGCAACATTCTACTCTCCGGAGACACGAAGTCCTGGAAAGCGTCCTTCGACGGCGCGTTATCCTTTCTCCTGATCCTCAAAAGTTCCTCGAACGTGGCCCAATCGATCTCATCCTCCGTCTCGAAACCTCCGCCCTGCGATTAACAGCAGTCGAGCCGAGCCTCGAAGACAATTCGTTCTAAGCGTCGCGCGCTCAGAACGTGCGCTCGTTTACCTCTACGATGACGTGCAACAGGCCCATGCTCCTATCTCCGAGCAGCAAGAAGTTTTGATAGTACAGGCAGTTTATCAGATCTTTCAGAGTGTACTTAGTCAGGTGATTATCTACGTAGAAATCGGGCCTGTTAATGCCCCGTGATACTCGGCCCAAGATACGACAGTAATTACAGCTCAAGTCCAAGTATTGCAAGCACATGTTTCCGGTCGAGACGAGCGCGCCGTTGATCGGGAAGCTTTCGGTTCCAAATGGATGACGCTTTTCGCGATCGTCACCGGCCACTTTCTTTTTCTAAAAATCCCATTTCTCATCTTTTCACGACCGCGCTTAACGAACGCGTCCCGCTTTACGGGGAACTGTTAAGATGATTTTAATTACTCGCGTTGATACCAGATCCTGGTCGATGCTTCCTGTTCTCAGAGCTTTGATCGATACGTCCGCGATCGCTGGAAATGCAATCTCGTTCGAGTGAAACGCGTTCGCGATTCAACGCGTGCGCGTCGATCGTACATGTTTTTGATCGTCTGGACGAACTTCGAACCGATCGCGATTTATTGTTCTTTCTCCCCTTTTCCTCCGTCGAATCGTTGTTAAACTCTTTGGACACCAATTCCTCGGCAGGCGACGTTAGTTCCTCGAACCGCTTGCGACGGAGATCCACGATTTCTTCGTGCTCCAACGTTGTTCTAACGCGATAAAACCGTATCAGAGGCGGAAGATTAAACCGAAATCGTTCTACGTACATCTTCAGTTCCTTAATTATCGCCCACGCACCGTCGTCGCACATTCTGTTCGCCAGCAGGCTCAGGCTCTTCAATGATCTGTGGAAATCGCGACTTTTTTAAATATTGTGCAGCTCGGTATATAGCTGGACGCGGAGGAAATGCGACGAACTGGGTCGCGATAACATACTTAATGTAGTCATTTGAAGTAACTTTCTCCTTAGCGAGAATGCAATCCGCGGCTTTGTTTGCGAATTATTAATCAAACAAACACTGACCAATGAGAGGAGAGATCCAGCTGGTGCGAGGTAGCCGAGCCAATGCGCTGGCTGGCAGAGTCTGTAGATACTCTATGATGAAACGTATACCACTGGTGGCCTTTGCTTTAGAGACCAGAAACGTTAAGTTGCATAGCAGATGCATAGGAGACAGGCTTAAGAATAATAATAAAAAACTATAATAAACTGTTAATTTTAGCGATATTTTTAGCACAAGTAATCATAACATTTACAAAAAATCAATCTACACTGGCATCCCAATCTATCAGGAAATCCATCCTACTAGTCTCAGTAACTGGTCCCCCTAGGTCGATAAGTAAAATTTTGGACCAGTTACTGAGATTAGTGGAATTCATTTTCCAGATTTTTGTGATCTGTCCAGAAATTAATCCCACTAGTTTCAGTAACTGGTCCACTTAGGTCCATAGCAAAATTTCTCGAGGTGACCGAGCCAATGAGCGAAAGCCTCGCCCCTGATTGGTCAGCGTTTTTCGTTAATAACTCGTAAACGAAGCCGCGGATTGCATTTGCGCTAAGGAAAAAGTTACTTCAAATGATCTTAGGAACCCTTTATTCTCCGGAAATGACAATTTCGGGACACCCTGCGGCAGAAAAGCAGAGAATCGACTTCATTCACCTGTTGGTACGAAGCATGGAGCCTAAGTGAGCTGCCCCTTCGCACGTGACACGGTTGTTCGACAGGCTCAAACTAATTAACTTCGGATCGTTCGGTGGATCCCGATATCGCAACTCATTCGCGATCTTCTTCACACCCTCGTCGGATATTTTGCAATGTCTCAGGGACAAGAATAGCAGACTGGACACCGTATATTCCGTTGTAATAATTTAGTTTTCGTATTAATTAGTAACTTGACAAATCCTTGGCGAACTTACTTTCCAGCGGGCTGACAGAGCAAATGGAAATTCTCCTGCGCGTTCGGATTCATGTCGAGATCCAGATCCCGAAGGCATCCGATGTTTGTCAACATCTCGGCGATCTGCATCACGCCGAACGCGTTTATGCGACTATCCGGCAGCCTGCGGAATGGACGGGACGATTAATTCGGCTTATCATTAATTCTCTACGAAGGGGAGGGTTAGTCGATGGATTACTTGAGGACCGTGACGGTGTTGTACCTCTGCATCGTCGTGTTCAGTGCATCTAGGATGCAAATCGACACTTCGCGACGTGGAATGCAACAAACGAACGATAGGTTTTGTTAAGACAACGGAGCTGCGGAATCGAAGGTAAAAATACTCATCTTTGCTTTCGATCCTGTTCGGAGCATCCTGCTTTTTGCCTTCGTAAGCCAGGTGAAAAATGGGCGACGCCGTATCCTCGGTGCTTAAACATTTGAAAGCCGTTTAGTCTCGCGAGAATCTCGCGTTTCGAACATTTTTACCTTTGCCGGGAGGACGCCCTAATTAAACGGACATCCACCGTCCCTTTCACCTAACGATTTTATCAATTTCAACAGATGCAGTAAATTCTTCCTAATTGGCCCTCAGTTTGTACACAAAAATAGACAATTTGGGAAGAGGAGACGCGACTGATGACAATCGGTAACTATAAAAACGAGACCAAGGTTCCAATAATCGCATCTCTTCTTTCCAAATTGTCCATTTTTGTGTACAAGCCGAGGGTCAATTAGGGAGAATTTACTGTGCAACGCGGCGAATCGACAGCACTAACCACGAGCTTAGGCAGCGGTTCGACGGTGTACTCCTCGCAATACTTCAAGAATTCGGACTCAAAGTTCTCTCTGGAGTTCCTCGCGGTGTCGCCCGCTGCCCAGAAACCGCAACAATGTTATCTGTATCAACTGTTACCTCATTCGATGACTCACCCACCACCGAAGGCACTCTGTCCCTGACCGAAGCGCTGTATCTACTTTTTCTATCCATTATTCCGATAAATTGCGTTCGCCGATTCGGGGGTTATGCCGAGCGAAATTATGGCTGTACATCGAATAACCAATTGGTCGGTGCGTGCAGGTGAAAAGCGACGTTGTGTAATTGTTTCGCCGAGTTCACGTCACTCGGAGGATCTACTCTTGCCGCGGATCATCGCTTGTCTTAACATTTTAACCGTCTAAGTCGCTAATACCGGCTCCTCGAACCAGTCTACCAGTCGATTCTATTAATAATTTCCACCTCTTTATTTCACTTAACCCCTTGCCATATTACTCTGACGAGTCTGATACGCGAAGAAGATTTCTAGCAACAACCTGTTCAGTGTAAACGCTGTTCTGTTCTTTTTAGTCTGAATAAAACTCTGGCCTCTTGTCGTCGGTGTTTATCACTAGATTTACGGGGCCCGTCAAAATGGCGGGTCGCTAATTTTTTGATTCACGATTATTCATATCGTAAAGATACATTTATGAGTCATTTATTCAATTTACATGTTACTTAAATGTTGCAACAACGCTTGTTAAAAATTCGAATAAATGTCTTATCGTTACTTTTACAAACTAATATGAAACAGCTGTATTTTTGGTGCTCCGTAAATCTAGAGTTAAACGTTTAAAGTAAGCGTAGACGCACGATAAATATAAATTGTCTTTTTTCCTCTTGGAAATTGTTAGAATCTTCTAAGAAAAGAGAAAGTTTCTTTCAAGAAAAAGAGAAAGAAAATTTCCTCTATCAGACCAACTTCTAATCACCGTAACCACGAAGAAAATGGCACGGCAAGGGGTTAATAAACGGTTTTCCCGTTGCGCTCGGCGAGCAATTAAACGAATAAAAAAATGAACAAATGATGCAGCTCTCGGTGCATTTCTCACCATCGTATCGCGTCTGCACGCTTAATGACACTCGGCGAAAGGGGACACGACGCGGGCAATAAATTCACAAGAGCCCCGGCGCCTACGAACCCCGCAGACCTTTCGAGCACGTTCCCATGAGCCAGCCGCTATGGGGGTGGTTGTAACAGGACACCGAGGGAATCCTAGAGCGACGAAACAAGGGCAACAGTTTCGGGGAAGGTATCGAACGATTTCTGGCGGTCCGAATGGCCGCGATACGACTACATATTGCGATGCGTCAGGATCTCGTGGGATTAAATTCGTCGGTCGCGGGGCTCTCTCGCATAGGGTGATTACCGAAATGCTTTGTAATCGCGTGTAAGCACCAACGATGTCCCCCATCTCGATTCCGAACTGGAAACAGCCCAGTCAGCCAAGTCCGCTTCGACCAAATACGTGTAAAACGCTTGGTAATGTACTTTGAGAGCAAATTTATGTCAATCTGGTACAAAAACACTGCTTCCAGTTCGCATTCGATATGCATTTCGCCAAGGCCAAATCCCTGGCGTAATACGGAAATACGGTTTTTCCGTTTTTACAATTTATTTCTAATTTTTTGCCACGATTCGAAGGCAATTCGGAGGCCACATGCCACGATTCGACGGTACAGTAATGTCTCTCTAATTGACCACAAAAATGGACAATTTGGGAAGAGGAGATACGATTGTCCGAGCCCTGCAGCTCGTTCTTATAATTGTTGCCAATTCGTGACTATAAAAACTAACCGCAGGGCTCGAATAACCGTATCTCCTCTTCCCAAATTGTCCATTTTTGGCCTGGGTTTGGCCCGCATTTGGCATGGACAAGGCGTTGGTGCCAAATCCAATGCAAACAGCGGATAACTCGGTATTTGACACGATAACGTACGGTCGGATTCGTGTCAAATTTAGGACAAATTGCTTACCGAGAGCTTCGTTGTCCGCGCATCGTCGTATCTCGCCGTTTGCTGAAACGAGATCGAATCGAGATCGAAACGTGACCGGAACGCCGTGAAATCGGGCGACGCGCCGCCAGCAGGTCTGCCGGTTCGGTGTTCGAGCTGCGATATAGCGGCGATTCGAAGCGGCTCCGAGCTCAGTCGAGCTCGACGCTTTGCCCGCGCGGTTCCGTGCCCAGAGAGGAGAGAGAGAACGAGCGGTCTCCGCCGCGAATCTTTGACAGCGCGCGCGAACACGTCCGACAGCTTCGTGAACGTTACTCGACGGACGTTCCTCAGTGAGATACGATTGCTTCCGAGCTGGGTTACACGCGCACCGGGCGTCGACGCTGCCGTAGGAGTCGATCGGAGGTGGGTGACACTATTTTTTAAGAGTTTTTCCCTGCCGCGCCGCCTCGGGGATCTTCTCGGCTCGCGCGGTCGGGACTCGTGGCCCGAGCGAGAAACGTGTGAACAATAGAGTCGAGGGTGTTTTGCAATGCAAAGGGGCATTGTCAGTGGCCCGCTGGTGGCTCGCAAATGGCCCGCAAATGGCACGCGTGGTTTCTTAATGTCACCGCGGTTGACGGGTCGCCGCGGCGAGCCGCGCCGGTGCAACGCACTTGCTGCTCCCATCTGCGGCCGACGCTTAAAATACGCGGAAATTTTGGATCTTGATTTTCGAACATTTTATCGGAAGATCGCCGAGGAACCGTGCGAGTTTTACGGATCGAGGAAGCGGAGCGAGGAGATCGTGGGCCACGTTTCGCGCTGCTCTCTTTCCGGCGCGCGTGAGACCGTCTCGGCCCTGCCCGGCCCGGCCAATCGCATTAATTTACGACTGTTTACATCGCGAGGCCAGGGTGTGCCATAAAGCCGGACCCACCATGAATTATGCATCGCGGGGTGGTTTCCTTTCTCGATTTCTTTCGTTCGGGCCTGGGATCGAACGGCGGGAACCGAGCGCGGTCGCCGCGCCGCGCCGTTTCGTCACGATTCGACGAAATCGTTCCTCGATCGCGCTTCCAAAACGGAGAAACTCCGGCACGAGATGATGCACGCACGCGTTCTATCCGTCCGGCCGCTAAATTGAGGCGAATTACGGCTTAATAAAAGCGACGGGGCTGCGATTAATTAGCCGCCCCCCCCCCCACCCGCGGAAGGGTTTTTCTGCGTCTGCGAAAACGAACGACTGCGCGTTCGAATTCGAAATTTCGGCGAACGATACGGTCGGGACAGGTTGGAAATACGAACACGCACAAATGAGGCGCGATGTTCTTTCGAAATGCAGTCGATGCGCGCTTCGGCGCGATGTCTGCGCCGGTGAAACTGGAGAGCAAGCTGACGAACGCGTTTCGGCGACGCGGCGTCGAACGTTTCATTCATAGCACAACCACGACGAATCTAGTATTTCGAGTTTGGTGAATCGGGAGAGCGGAAGCGCGATTATTATTTATTCGTCATTTATTGATAAACCGGTCGCAAGCTCTTCGTTTACATAATTAGTCAATACCAGGGGTGGCCAAACTTTTCGTCGCTACGAGCGATCTGTTTCTTTAAATTATAGACGGCGGTCTGTCAACATCGTATGTGTTAATTAGAGTGTTAATTTTAAGCCAAAAATAAGCTTGAATTTAAAATAAACATAGATAATATCAGGTCAGTCGACCGTGGGTCGACGCTTTGGCCATGCTTCGGTGATCGAATTATGCAATTAACCCTTTGCCCTCGAAGCCATTTTAACTGTAAATCTAAAATAATTTTTCCGACTTAATAATGTTTCAAATTTAAGCTGCGACGATGTAAAAATGATCTTAGAACGTGATATAACAATTTTAGCTGTGCCTCAGGGTCGCCGCTCGAGTGCAAAGGGTCAAAGGTTTGCATGGAACCGGGAAAAAAATCGACGTTGCCACCCAGGGTGCGCGAAGCTGTCGCGACGTTATTCTAGCTCCGTCTCCGACGTAAATCGTATTTGGAGCACGAACGCGTCGACAGTGTCGACGAGGTTTTCGGCGGGCAACTTCGACGCGCGTTCCCGATCGTTTCCGGTTTAATAGGCGCGCGCGAGCGCGAGCGCGTTCCAGCGGCCGTAAACCTCGAAACTCTTGGGATCTGGTTACGATCGCGAGCCACGAGAGATTCCTGCGGCCAAAGGAGAGGACCCTGTCTCGTCCGTTGACGCCGCGGCGCGAACAACTACGACAGTTATTACGCGACGGGCCGGACGATCCCCGGTATGTATTCCTGCGGACGGAGTAACGCTGGAATAACGCCGCGGCCGCGCGGGGACACGTTCTCACGGCCGACGAAGGTAGTAATTCATTGGCAGTGGTAAAACCGTTCAATCTGCGACTCGGACAAGACGAGTCCGAAGAGACTGGTTCGGGGACTGGTCCCGGAGGAAACGCAGCCGTGGCCTCCGAAGCGGTCCTGGATCTCTCGGAATATCTCTCGAACTGGCCGTCGCGGCATTGTCGGGCCGTGTATATTCCCTCGCGAAAAGAATTCTCCCTCGAACGGGGAATTAAAGGAACCTGTTCCGCGGACGATTAACGTCAATTTGTATTCCTCGGAATTCGAGTCTCGGCGCGGGGTGGCCAGCGACGGCGTTCCCGGGCCGAGGAAGTATCGGCGCGCGTTAGAAAACCGAAGTCGCCTCGACGCGACGAAGCTTCGAAGCTTCTTGCCGCGATCGCGGTTCGAGCGGAGAAGGAAAATCGCGCGGAGGCCGGCGATCCGCGGGAGCGGCCGCGTCCAGATAAAAATGCGACGAGGATGTCGCGCGGCAGAATATCTCTCGGCGCGAAACGCGATCGGCGCGCGTTATAAAACCGTAGTCGCCTCGAAACTTCGAAGCTTCTTGTCGCGATCGCGGTTCGAGCGGGGAAGGAAAATCGCGCGGAGGCGGGCGCGGCGGCGATCCGCGGGAGCGGCCAGATAAAAATGCGACGACGATGTCGCGCAGCAGAATATCTCTCGGCGCGATTAGCAGGCGCGCGAAACGCAATCGGCGCGCGCTCGCGCACGTCGAAATCGGTAGTATCTTTCTCGATGCTTGTGCAGCAGCGTGCTGCGCTGGATGACTCCTCGCGATTCTCTCGGTGTGTACACACAGAAGCCGGTTCGGGATAGCCGGGGGCCGGAGGCGAGCCTTGTACGTGTGTCCGAGAACGCGGCGACACGCGTGTCCACGGCGCGCGGCTGATATCGAAATACTATCGCTTCCCACGCGAGAAGGAGCCTCGATTCTGTCCGCCTCCTCGGCGCGCCCCGGCCACGATTCACGTTCACGTGCGTGCGTAAAAGCCGCCTTATTGGGAAACTTTAATGGCTAGACCGCGACGCGACGCGTCGCACAATGCCTCGGACCTATGCGTCCGGCATACAGTAATGCCTCCCTAAGTGACGCTCGGATTGTCCACAAAAGTGGACAATTTGGGGAGAGGAGATACGATTATTCGAGCCTTGCAGCAAAGTTTTTATAATCGTTGAAACGCGGTGACTACGAAAACGAGTTGCAAGGATCGAATTCGCGAGGCTCCTCTTCCAAAATTGTCCATTTTTGTGGACAATTAGGGAGACATCACAAGCGTCAATTAGGGAGACATTACTGTACTTCGCGTTCAAGCTTCCCTCCGTATTCCCGTCGCGATTCGCATCGCTGCGACGGATGCGACGATTCGTGGATTCGATGATTGGTACCATCCGCGAGCTCTTTGGATTCTTCTCGTCGTCGCGACGCGGAATCGGTCGCAGCATAGTCGCGGCGGAGTTGCAACGGAGTCGCAGATCGCGGCAGAATCGAGTTTGCCTGGAGCCGGCGGGCGACTCGCCCTCGCCCGTAAATTCGGCTCGTCCTTTTTTCGACGGGGGAGATTCGGCTTGTTTTTTCCGGTGCCTGACGAAGGAATGCGGCCGACTTGCGGCATGCGGAGATCCTCGAACAAAAGGATACCACGAGTTTTTGCGGCGGGCACCGCGACGCGTCCTTCCTGGTCGGCGCATTGGATCGCCAATTGGGTCACGCTTCGAAGAATTTCCGCGACACCGGAGGCCATTAATATCGATCGCGCTTCCAATTGACTTGCTCGACGGGTCTCGCCGCGCCGCGCCGCGCCGCGCCGCGCCGCGGATTAGAACGCGGAATGTGATTTCGTCTCGCGCGATCGAAACGGCGGCGAATTCCGCGACCTATTCGCGATTAATCGCCGGTAATCGACGCTCCCCGGAGATTATTCGAGTCGCTCGCCTAATGGTATCGCTGACACAATCTAATCGTAGATTCCCGTGTGTCGGCCGCCGGTGATTCGTCGCCGCGCATTTTAATTGAGACCCGTCGTCGTCGTCGTCGTTGTCGGCGGGGAGCGTTGAACGACGCGGGACGCGCGACTCGAATTCCTGATAAAACGAGCGCGGTCTCCGCTCTTCGACGCGGTTTCCTCGAAGCGGGGTGAACGCGGCCCGTTCCCCGCATACCTAAACAGCGTCAAACGTTTGGAATAACGCGATCCGCTCGTTACGCCGGCTTTTCTCCGAAAGCGGGGGGCGACCGGTCAAAGGTTAATTGATATTCGAGGTGTCCGAGGTGCCTTCCGAGCGACGTTAACGCAGCCATCGAGTCCCGCCGGTGCGTTTCAACCTCCCGTGATTTATTCGCGCGGGCGAGCCGCGGGACGGGAAATTGAGAAATCGAGAGTCCTCGCGGTAAACTCCGGCTCTTGAATAGAGACCGCAGATACGGCGACGTCCGCTTTGCGTGCACGATGCATTCTAATCCGAGGACCGGCTGCGCCGCGTACCGAGAAACAGCTGGCCCCGTCGCAATCTCGGCGATCTCGAATGGATTTGTAATAGCGGTTAATGCGTTTCCGTGGAATCGAGAAAGACGAGGATAGCCGGAGCTTCGCGCCGGGGTCCGCGGCAGTTCCGCCGCTCGGCTGCTCGAACGCGCCAGCGATATTCTCGCGAAATCGTGTGACGCGTTTTCGCGATACTCCGAATTTATCAAGCGGGGTTCGTGACACTCGCGTGTCAGACCGGAGCTTATCGGGATTTTCAGGAAACGGTGCCCACTCGCGGACGACCGACGCTGGAACGTACTATTCCGGCGACGAGAACCGTCGCAGCGGATACGGCAAATTCTCCCAAATTGTCCCCACAACGGTTCCCTTGGAAACAGATGTGGATGATTCGGGAAGAGGAGATACGATCATACGAGCCTCGCGGCTCTCGTTTTTATAGTCGCCGATCGTCGAGAACGGACGGACAATTTGGCAGAATTTATTACTGTATTTCGATCGCGTCGAAGAAATTACGATACCGTGATTTCGCGAGATCGTTCCGAGACGGTGATTGGACGGCGAACGCGC